TTCAACTGACTTCGGTGAAAGACCAGCTGAAAGCTTCAAATGGGCTCCCAATGGTACACCAACTGGCTTCGTATCCATGCTAATATAGAATCGTTGTAGAACCTTCTTCAAATAAGCTACCTGTGTCAAACAAATTCTGCCCTTCTTCTTGTCTCTGCCGATATCCATCCCTAAAATGCGCTTCGCCTCGCCCAAGTCCTTCATCTCAAACTCATTTGAAAGCTGAACTTTCAACTCATCTATAGCCGACCTGGAAATAGAGGCAACCAACATGTCATCAACATAGAGCAACAAACAAATGTACGCACCTTTTTTCAACTTGCGAAAATATACGCAAGGGTCAAATTGGCTCTGAGTGTACGAATGACAAATCATAAAACCATCGAATCGCCTATATCACTGTCGAGAAGACTGTTTCAAACCGTATAGCGATTTCTTCAATCTGCAAACTAATGTTTACTTCTCTGCAGCTCGGAATCCTAATGACCGAGTCATATATATTTCTTCATCAAGATTATCATGAAGAAATACCGTCTTTACATCCAACTGATCTAACTCCAAACCATACTGTACCACCAAAGCTAGCAAAATCCGAATCGAATAGTGCTTCACCACCGGAGAGAAAACCTCATTATAGTCAATACCTTCCTCCTATGCATAACCCTTCGCAACTAACCTAGCTTTGAACCTCAATGGAGTGCCCGCAATGCCCTCCTTCGTGTATACCCACTTGCAACCAATTGCCTTCCGCCTCTTTGGAAGCTCAACAAGCTCCCATGTGTCGTTCTTATGAAGAGATTCCATCTCCTCCTGCATAGCCACCTGCCACGAATCAGCCTCCGAACTCTGCTCGGCCTCTCTGAATGTTGTAGACACCAACTCATCGATACTCTCCACTGGAAGTGCATACGCAACTGTGTCGGCATACCGTGCTAGCATCTGTATGTTTCTCCTCTGTCTCCGAACCGCAATCGAATCCTGAACCTGAGCCGTCGGTCCCTGATCCTGCACATCAGTACTCGTATCCCTCGTATTATCGTCGTGCTCGCCTGGCATCACCTCAGTCAGCACTCTAATGGATATTGTACCATCTAGATAATGTGGAGCTCCATCGATCTCCACCACTTGCGATATCTCCTCCGTCGGGTCGCTCTCCACCTGATGAGAGCTGGGAAGCTTCAAGATAGAAGCCTCATCAAATATGACGTCCCTACTCAGCACAATCTTCTTATCAACTGGATCTCAAAGCTTGTATCCCTTGACACCACGCTTGAATCCTACAAATATGGCCTTCCTAGCTCGAGGTTCCAACTTATCAGTTCTCATATGATAAAATGCAGGGCACCTGAATACCTTGAGCTGGTCATAGTCGTGTGCTGGCTTCCCCGACCACTTCTCCATAGGGGTCTTCCCCTCAATCGTAGATAAAGACAGGCTATTAATGATGTGGCTCGCATATGTAAGTGCCTCAGCCCAAAAGATCTTCTCCAAACCACTCTGCGACAATAAGCATCGGATCTTCTCCAGTAAAGACCGATTCAACCTCTCTGCCACCCCATTTTGCTGCGGTGTATGACTAACCGTGAAGTGCCTTTCTATGCCCTCGTCTCGACATAGCTGCAGAAAGGGGTCTGAAGTATATTCACCACCGTTGTCGGATCGCAACGCCTTGATCTTTCTCCCAGTCTGCAGTTCCAATCTCTTCTTCCACTCCACAAATAAATTTAGGACTTCACTCTTCTTCGTCATGGTGTACACCTAACAACGCCTAGAATAGTCATCTACAAAAGTCATGAACCAATGTCTACCACCAAGTGATGCAGTCTTGATGGGACCCCAAACGTCTGTGTGCACGTAGTCCAGGATGCCCCTCGTCTTATGAATGGCAGTCCCGAACTTTACATTGGTCTTCTTACCAAGAATACAGTGCTCACAGAACTTAATCTTCCTACTCTTGGCTCCCTTTAATAGCCCCTGCTTGCACAATACCTGCAGTGACTTTTTACCTGTGTGCCCCAACCTATAGTGTCAAAGTCTGCTCATGTCCGCTTCTGAAATAGCCAAAGCAACCTGGCCAATCTCGGTGCTTCCCTTTAGATAATACAAATTTCGATTGCGGACTCCCCTCATCACCACCAATGATCCTTTAGTAACATTCGCTACATCGTTTTCGAAAGTCACCTTGAATCCCTTTGCCTCCAAAGCTCCAACTGAGATAAGATTTTTCTTCAGTTGAGGAGCAAATTTCACCTCCTTCAACTCACGGACTACTCCATCGTACATCCTAATCCGTACGGTACCTATCCCACAAACACCACAGGATTAATCATTTCCCATGACAACAACACCCCCGTCGACTTTCTCAAAAGATGCAAACCAGTCTCGCCTAGGGGTCACATGATAAGTAGCGCCGGAATCAAGCATTCAATCTGATGTATCCACATGGTTCACCTCCGGAGTAATCAATAGAGAAAAGCACGAATCATCGGAATCATCATCTTTCGTAATATTCACCTTATTGGTCTTTGGGCCCTTTTTCTTGCCATTCTCTTTCTCCTTGAGCTTCGGGCAGTCTCTCTTCCAATGTCTCTGCTCCTTGCAAAATGCACATTGGTTCTTTGCTAATTGGTGGCGGCTTCTTAACTTTGACCTCCCTCTATTACCACCTTTCGGATATGGGCTTCTACCTCTCGTCGACAAGGCCTCGCCTGAAGTGCTAGCACGGGAAGTCTCATTATCCTTCCTCCTCAAATCGTAATTGGTCAATGCGTTAGTCACTTTACTATAGCTGATAGAAGATCTCCCGTTTAACAAAGTGAGCACGAAGGTATCATACTCCTCATCCGGTAAGGAGCCCAACAAAATAATCGCCTTGTACTCATCCGATATCTTCTCATCAATATTCGCCAAGTCCGACAACAACTTAGTGTAGTTGTTCACATGAGCCGCTAGCTAGGTGCCTCTGGACATTTGAAATCTGAAGAGTCTTCGTAGCAAGTGTAACCTGTTCTCAATGCTCTTTGTGAGATACTTATTGTTGAGAATTTCCCACATCTTCATTGCAGACGTCATCTCAATCACATCATATTTCAGCTCCTGTTCCAAACAGGACCTAATCACCCCACACGCGTTCCTATTCATCTTCTCCCATATCGCCTCATCATATTTAGGTGGCTTCTCATGGACCATGATGATCTCTTCCAAATTCTGAGCATTGAGCGCATCCTGTACGTCGCTCATCCACAAACCAATGGACCATGATGATCTCTTCCAAATTCTGAGCATTGAGCGCATCCTGTACGTCGCTCATCCACAAACCAAAGTTGATTTTGCCGTCATACTTCACCACACTAATCTTAGTATTCTGAAAACCAACTTGTATTGTACTCACCATCGACTTGCTGATTTCACCTTCTTCTCCCATTGCAAACTAACTCCTAATTGTAAAGAAAGATTCAAACTTTGAAAGGAATAAGAAATTACCCCACTGAACCCTAGATTGGATTCCAAATAGAACTCCTAACCACACGAGGAAAGCGAGATCTCCAACGGCAACTTTAAATCCTATCTCCAGTAAAGCCTAGAACTCAATGAACCAAGCTTCCAACTGAATCTTTCCCCACTTAATCCAAAACACCCTAGATCTGAAATCTGGGCTCTGATACCACTTGTTGCGCGCAGCGAAAATTTCGGCAGCACTTCGGCAGCACAACAAGAGAGTCAGATCGCAATAAGAATTCACGTCTCACTAAGGAAACAAGAATCTGAAGCGAATATCTCAACAAAGTGAGATATCAGCTCTTCCTCTCATCAGTTCTAGGACTGACCTATCGAGGGATCCTAAAAACTATTACAAATCACACAAATAGCGAGACAACCAATTTTACGTGGTTCGGCAAATTGCCTACGTCCACGGGGTAGGAGGGGGAGATCTACTACTAGAGAGAGATTACAACTAGGGTTTATAATCACTCACAACCTAAACCCTCAAACAAACTCTCAAATCCCTCACAATATCTCTCTACAAAAGGATGCTCAAAACCCTAAAAAAGGGCTGCTCAAAATCATCTATTTCTTCAAAAGGACGGCTGCGTTTTTCTCCCGCAAAGGCTTCTGCGTTTTCACCCCCTGCTGTGATTTTCTGCCGCAGCCACAAAACAAACCAAAGCTCCTTGCACCTGTTCCGCAGCCGCACAAAAAACCAAGTTCCTTTGCCTCCTCTCCTTCGCACGCTTTATTTTTCCAAGCCCTATAACCCTATTTATATATTGGCTTTCATGGGCCAATTTCATCCGCAACCTCATCCGCAAAAAGCATCCGTAAAAAGGTGCTAGACATCACGTGGTGGACCCCACGTTCATTCACAAAGTACACTAAACTATGGAGTCTTTTAGCTTATATACTATCATAAAAATTTAATCATCATTATAATGAAAATCTAAGATTTATTATTTAAGCATGTTAATAGACCTTCTCACAATCCCTATTAGTCACTTTCAATTATATTTAATTGTATATCTAATAATACAAATATGTGTCGTAATTTGCTATATTTTTTATGTGGCACTATTATTTAATCTTTGGCAAATAAATTGATACTTTATGTGTACGTGTCATAATATAAGTGTGGACACATACAATTTTTTTTGTAGTGAACTTATTGTTTATCGTGTTTAGTTTGGGCATGAATGTCATCAGAATCTCATCACTTATGCATGAAAAGGTACTTGAACTTCTGACTTACATATAAGAAAACATATCATTCTACCTTTAAAAGAGAGAGTATGAGAAAAACTTTTCCTACCCCAAAATATCCTTCATCTATCATAAATTTAACAGAATTATCATTTTTTATTATTTTTCTTACGTTACTCCAAAATCAGAAATCAAAAGCCCTTTACCGTATCTATCGCCTCTTTTCATTCATCTCCTTCAAAAATCTTCAACACCCTCTCCAGCAAAAAAAACCTAATGGCAGAAAAAGAAAAAAAGCAGAAGAAATCGGAGAAAAGTGAAAACTTCAAGAGAAGTTGTAGATCGACGACAGCCGAACCCGGGAGTCCCCTGCGGCCTCTCGTCTTTCTCTCTCCTCCAGGGTTTCCTCTAATCTCCCACCAAATCCCAAAAAACTCAAATCCCAAATTATATCACCCCTAAAATATGGTAGTCTCCCGTCTCCTCAAAACCTCACTCCCCCAAATTCATCAAAAAACCCTAGAAAACAAAAGAAAACCCAACGAAATCAAACAAAAGAAAACCCAACGCAATGGTCTGCACGTCGAACTAGAATCGAAGCATGGAAGCCCACTCCCTCCTCCAGCGCCATGGCTTCGACGTCTCCTCCTACGGCACTGGGGCACACGTTAAGCTCCCCGGTCCATCGTACCGAGAGCCCAACGTCTACGAATTCGGAACTCCTTATCACAATATGTACGATGACCTCCTCCGCAAGAACCCTGAATTGTGAGTGGAAAGCCGATTTCCCCCCCTACATTTTTTCGTATTTACTGTTTTTACCATTGTAAAGTTGGGACTTTTGTGGAGTTTTTAGGTACAAGCGTAATGGGATCTTGCCGATGTTGAAGAGGAATATGAGTGTGAATCTAGCGCCTCAGCGCTGGCAGGATAATGTTGCTGATGGCCCGTTTGATGTTGTTCTCAGTTTCGAAGATAGGGTTTCTGATGCGATCGTTGATGGTTACTGGGTTTTTGTTTTTTGTATTTTTTTAGTTTTGTTTTAAAGCTGATACTTTGCGATTGGGTTTTGAATTTGATTGATTTATATGAGTTTCAATTTGGAGTTTTTATTTGAATTAGTGTGCAATTCCGAGCTTTGATAGTTTTTAGAACTTGCTCTTGTGAGATAATGACAATTACAATTTCAGATTTTGTAATCATACCTAAGGGTATTAGCTGAAATTGGATTGAAAAAATGCCTAGAGATGTAACCGTCTACGACTGGGTTTTACTTGATAATAAGGGTTGGAGATCGAACTCCAGCTTCGGTGTGGAGACATTGCGAAGGTTTCCTTCGTATTAAAATAAAAAAACAAAACGAAAACTTCGTATTAAAACTTCAAGAGAAAATGAAAACTTTGTTGCAGTTGCATTTAGACTGAATGACTTAAGGCGCACTGGCTATATTGAACGTGTCGAGGTAGAATCTTAATTGGCTACTTTGTGATCTTCTTCTATTTTGTATGAAGTCATTCTATGAAAGTAACCTTGTATTCTTTATTGCTCTCAACAGTTAAAAGAGATGGTGCTGGCTCTTTTCAGTGAATCAGATTTATGCCTTTCTGATGATGTTGTTGATCAAATAGTCGATAAGGTGAGGATTTGTCTTTTCTGTTCGCATTTTATTGCCGCAACATAGTGACATATACAATTGGTTTTTCGAGGATTTCAATTATTGCTTTTCTTTTACAGACTTTCATGGAGTCAGATAAGAAGGGTGATGGAAAGATAGATCTGGACGAATGGAAGGAATTTGTAGATATAAATCCATCATTGCTGAATAACATGACTCTTCCATACTTAAAGTAAGTCTTTTATCCTTCTATATTAAATCCTCAAGTTGCATAAGTTTAAGGTGCCTCTTATTGTTGCCCATTATTTTCTACAAATAATATTTCATAAAGTTAATATAATTTAGTGCTTATTTATTTCTCTTTGGTAATGTGCACGTACAATGACACACTTTTCTAAATCTAGAACAATGTTTTGTTACTTGTGGTTGCTTAATTATTACTCATCCTTTCTCAATAAATGAAAACAGAGTCCTCAGTTAATAATGCTTCAATAAACTACACTGTTTCATGTTCTCAAAAGCAAAATCAATCCCCTTGAACTTTATGTGAATATTCAATCTTACATAACGTACATAATGCATTTTGTAAGGCTGTTAATAGCTGAAGCAACCCCCTTTAACCTTTTGCCTTCTTCATCGTATTCACTCTAAACCTTGTTAGGCCTTGGAAAATCACATGCTTATGCTTGATCAAACAAGTGCACTACGTTCCAAATATATTCAAATATCACGGATATTAATCTCTGAATAATTCATGTTTGGATATGATTTGTTAAGGACACATGTTTCGTTCTTCGAGAATGAAACAGGGCGTCAATCATTTGATTTGCCTGATATTTCATGTTTGGGTATGATTTGTTGAGGAGGATATCATGCATTATGACCTGACATAATTTTATTAGGGGAAAACTTCACAAAACCACCATGAACTTTGGGGCTTTTGCACAAAACTATCTTAAAACTTTTTTTTAACGGAGATATCAAAGTTAAAACTGCAGAAAACCAAAGTTAAAGCATTGAAATTATTATTAGGTAACTCAATTCTTAAGTTATTTGAAATTAGTCATTCAAATTAATGATATAATTTGCAAATTGAGGAAAAGTTGAATTTAGGCCAAATTTCAGAACCACCCACCCACCCACACAAACTTCCGATGATTATGAAGTGATCCAAAATAAATATCAAAATAATTAAAATTTGGTAAAGGAAATAGTCATTGTGAACATGATATGTGCTCATGCCACTGCCATTAATGGTAATTACCAAATGTTGTTTTCCTTTGCCTTGTGTAGCTCATCATTATCTTTTATGAAGGGTAAAGAATATTGTTCCCTCTGATTGTTTTTCTTTTAGAATCAAAGAAAAATGCCTTCAGAACCTGTGAAAGAGTTTCTTTCTTCTTTTATTTCTTCATCTAATCCACAGTATTTCCTGAGCATGTCAGTCAGTTTGATGATTGACCTTAATGTGTATATAGACTCCATATTCTTTGCGATTTACTATTTTTTTCTTTCTGTTGGCTGCTTGTTGAGTGCTAAAGAGATGAAAACTTTTAACTAACCGGATGTAGCTTTCTCTTAGTGCTGCTTCTCACTCTTGTTAGTTTGAACAATTTTCTCATATGCCTGCGTTGTTGAGAGAACCAAACTCTACAAAAATCTTTAGTAGCCATTCATGAGCATATGACACGTCAAACATTACCGAACTTCTGAGTGTCTGACTTTTAGTCTATGGTCAAAGAATGTAGCTTTTTTCTTCTTCATATTCTTAGTTTAATACAAAATTCCGAATCCTGATGTACTTGGCTCGGATCTAGCTTGCAAGTCTGAAATCTGCATAAAACATTGGTGGATAATCTTTTGTTTTGTATTTTATTTTATTTTATTTTACTTATTCTGACCTTGTCACTTTAAAACTAATTATATTATTAAACTGATCAAAGAATAATGAATTAAAAGTTCAGATATACTTCTCATTTGAACGTAAGGGATGTCCTTAGTATTAGTTATCTCAGGCTATCAACATGCATTTAGTTTCCATAAAGAAGAATTTGGTTGAGTTATAGCACTGTTCTTTTGGTTAGAGCTTCTCTGGAACAAACTGTTTTGTTAATGCATTCTCTCGCTTATGATCAATGTGATCAAGGTGATGGTCATCGTCATCATTTATTACTACAAAACAAGTTAAACAGTGTAGAAATTTTTGGTTCGTTTCACTGTTATTACTTGACAAATTAAGGAAGACTGCAACTCCGTAATCATTTTGAAACTGTAAAAATAACTGATTCCTATATTACCAAAGCGCACAACTGTGCACAACTGCTCAAATCTGATTCATGAATTTCACTGGATTATCATCTTTACACTTTCATTTTGGGAGGGGAAAACTTTCAGCTTAATGATGCTATCTCTATTGTTAGTACTGCTTTTATTACCGAAGCTTGCTGCTTTTGTTGCCGAACATTGCAGTTATTGGTGAGAAAAAGATGTTCATTTTGCATCCATTTTTATTTCAGGTGTGCTGCCAAAGTATTTTAGTTCTGAGTGGTCATTTGCTCAGTTCCACCTACCAGAAGCCACGCGCTACACTGTTGCATTTGGAGCTCAAAATACTGTAATCATTATTGGTCTGGATGGCAGGTATTACTCCTTTTCCTGAGTCAAATTTTATTTAATTCCAAATATTTTGATGTCTTCTTTTTCTACAAATATTTTTTCAATGTGGCTTTTTACAGCAAATAACGGATTAATAGGGCACTTTCAGATCTTTTTTGTTTTTCTGTTTTCCCTCTAATGTTTGTTTTTCTTATCTTACTCTTTAAGTGTACACTTCATGTCCTTGTATTCTGAGCTCACTTTGGACTTGACTAATAGATATTAGTAACTAGAATACATCAGTTGATGTTTCAGTCATCGTAGAAATTTGCACCTCTACTTTTCTTGCAGTTCTCACAAAATTCAGGGAATTGTTTGCGTAGATGGTCACAGTCGATTTATTTACCTGGGAGTAATATTCAGCAATACAGCGCTATGTTAATGAAATATTGTTTTTTAACCAAAACTTATTTACCTGGGAGTAATATTCAGCAATACAGCGCTATGTTAATGAAATATTGTTTTTTAACCAAAACTGTGCGCGAGTTAACGATCAGACCTGAAATGATGAAGTTGGGAACTTCGTTTATGTCTTTTTTGACGTAATTCTTATTTTCTGATGACGATAGGTTTGAAATGGAGAGAAGATAAAATCTAGAAAGGAATGTAATTCACTGAATAAATTCGATTTGAGTTTGGAAAGAAAAGGTTTGACTTCTAATAAATTTTATTAAAGAAAGGTTTGGGATCATTTACTTTTGCTATTATATCATTAAATTGGTTCACAAAGTCAGGAAAACATTTGAGGTGCATAATAGTCAAGTTTCAAACAATGTGGAGCATTTTTTTGCACAATAGTGTACTCGGTGCACGGTCAATTCATAGTGGTGTTTGCTGTATTTCTAGAGAATGTTGCACCCACCATCAGCAACTTGTAATGCATGCTCAAAATTGTGGTGCACTAGCAATCTCAAACAATGATATAAACATTCTAATATGCGTCAACCTTTTAATTTCTTGCAATCATCCTTTTGAAACTAGTCGAAAGAGACTCCCAGAGAGAACATAAATGCATTTCTTTTTGAGAAAAGTAGGGGAAAAAATCAAGATAGTCTAATTGGGAGGTGCAAGAACTATTTCCAATACATTTATAGTCAATTGTTGTTTGTTGAGAAGAGGAAAATGTTAAAATCATTTTTGTTCGGATTTTGCTAACTGCCCTTTTACCATTTTCCTCTTTTCAACAAAATATGACTGGTTATAAATGTACTAAAAATAGATCTTATACCTCCTAATTAAACTATCTTGATATTTTCCTCTTTTCCTACTCTTTTTAAAAAGAAATTCTTTTTATGTTCTCTCTGAGGAAATGTATTTCCTTCAACTTACATGCCTAATAAAGTCTACCCATAGTTTGATTATATAATCAGAGAGAGCTCACAGTTATGTTTATGAGACTTGTCCTTTACATAGCCTCATGTTTGTTCCTTCCATGAGGATTTCAATTGAATTTCATATTGCGGGTACACATATGCTGTAATATATGCTAATAGTGAAATTAAAGGTGTCTTTTTTTAAAAAAGTGTTAAAAGGATAAATTGGTGAAAACTATTATATCCTTACCATTAAATCATTGAGGATCAATGGACTGCAAATCTGCAATGGTATTCAATGACCAATCTTTGCTTACTGTTCGGAGTTTTGACATGCATGTTTAATATTGTTAATTCCTTTCAATCATGAGATAATAATTTGATACATAGGATTCTCTCTCTCTCTCTCTCTCTCTCTCTCTCTCTCTCTCTCTCTCTCTCTCTCTCTCTCTCGTCAGTAATCTACTTGCGTTCCTCATTCTCACATTTTCATCAATCTCAAATCAAACCTGACTTTTTGTTAGCATTTTCCCATATATAAAGTTGATTTTTTTATTGTTTTCATGTTTATACTCTTCACATGCAAAGATGTTGACAATAATGAAATTTCAAACAATTCACAGCCAGTTAAAGTTAGAAGAAAGGACAAGGAGATTGCTTTTGAAGCTACTTCAACTCTAAGCTCCCCTCCACCAGAACGAAATAGAAGCCTCGAGTATGTTATCTACTCTACTGCCCATATGGAAAATTTGATTAAACTTGTTAATACAATATTTTATATTCCATCTATTGGAAACAAATGTATTTATGCTTTCTTTGCATGATCCATAAATCACTTTAACTATTTGGTTAATTTCATTCATCTCCTATTTAATTGAACTATGTACCTGCTTGTTTTCCTTAGATGTTGGCCACATCACATGTTTGTAATTGCTTAAATTGGTGGCAAGCTGAGAGATTTACTGCGAGGAACATTGGAAGCAGAGGTAGATCTTTTTAAAAAAGAAAATAGATTGTATTCATACAATCCATTGTAATATACATGTTCCATGATATGGTAATGACTATATTTTATCTACACTGTAAAAACTCTTGCCATCATTTGCGATGGGTTGCTAACAATGGTTATCAATATCCTAGAGATTTCATTGTTAAGCAGAGTTTTTAAGGGCAAAGACTAATTGGCATGACCCGATTGAACTGACCAAACCATGATTTGAACAACTATGAGAAGCTTGCATACTATGAGCATAATTGTCACGCATGAT